GATATATTTCTCTTTAGCAACCCAAATGCAGCGACAATCTACTAGAAGTAGGAGGGGTGTGTATAAAAACCTGGAATACATAGTTATATTATGAATGAAAATTAGTTTAATAATTGATCTCTCTCTGCAGGCACCCCTAATTACCGCCACTGTTGGGTACCTAATTCAGTTATGCAAAACATCAGTTTACAAAGTTGATCGCTGGTTCTAGGGATGATTCTGCTTGGATTGAGAAGCCTCAGGAGTTGGTCAAAGAAAGATACTTCCAACAGCTGGTGAATCTCATCCAGGAAAGCACAACCTTCCATTTGTCTGACTCTGACCTTCATTTGTGTCGGGAGGGAACTAATGCTGCTGCCTTGCAAATGCTGCATGAGTTTTCTGGGTTAGTTGTTACATGTTACGTAGATACTAGAGACCAATACTTCATTGATATTACTTGTGTTGTTTTCTGCTGTTATATAATTGATTAATTAGCAAAGTAATAAACTACATTCTAATTTTGAAATCCTATTATACAGGATTGGTAAAAAGTTTAAAGACTGTTTCCACTGTTGAACAGACAACGTAAATAAAACTAACTGGCCTACATCTAGGCAAAAAAATGAAATTTTTGAGTGATATAGTAGATTTGTTCATTGCTCTGTAATAGAATATTTTTTGAAGAGCCTCAAATTATCAAATATAAGCTAACATAAAAAGTGTGTAATTTTATTGTACGGTTTTAGGAACATCTGAGCTAGAGATTTGTATATAGAAATTCAAAATGAAGTGTTCTTTTATAGGCTTATAATTAGGCCTAATTAAAATATCTGGGGCAGTTCCTGAAAAAAACTCAACCAAGAGCAATGGACAAAAATGCTATTTCACTATAAAAGTTTGTTTTTATTAGTCACTATAATTTATCAAGTTTGCTTAACTGCTATTGTTCGTTCAAAAGTTATAAAGTGGCCCTAGGTATTTGTTAACCCTGTAATATGATAGTAAAACGATCTTTATTCATAAAAAATGTGCAAAAAAACTCTTTACAGCAGATAGGTAGACAAGTGTTTGAGTTTAAAAATCTAGTTATCATTATTCAATTTTTGAATAATTAAAACACAGTTAAAATCAATCTGAATGATTGGAACTTTTTTTTTTTTTTAAAGAGGTTGGCGGCCTCTTTCAACCTTGCATTTGCCCGTCCACATAGACTAAGCGCCCGTGCGTGGATCGCTTAACAGCAAAGCAAGGAGTGAGCCGGTACAGTACAAAGGTGAACTGTACTGATAAAATGTTATCGGCAGTGACCAGGATCCGAACCCACGACATCGCTGCCTTGGGCCCGAAGTCCGCGACGCTACCGACTGAGCCACCGACTCACTAATTATATTAATAATACTAATTAATATTGGAACTTTGCAAGCATTCTTTTTACAGGAGGGTTTTTGCCATTTACTACAGTGAAATGGATTACAAAAACTCAACTACTTTGAAAACGATTGCCAGATGCTTTGGAATGTCCATGCCACCAGATATAAAACCCCAAGGGTTGTACCAAGATGTTTTCAGGTGGGCTTATCACATTTGTTAGATATATTTAAACTATTTATTTTCAAACTTTATATGAAATACAATGAAGCCAATATAGTACTCTAAATATTTGAAACTTTATTTTATCCAGTTGTTGGCCTTTATTCATTCTCAGCGTTACTACAAACCTGAAAATTTTTTTTTTATGACATGCTCTCAAAGTCATTTTCTAAAAAGTTGTCTCTGGTGCTGGCAATAACTATAATTTTACTTGCAACCGTTTTTTTTTTTTAAATAGCCGTTTTATTTCAGTTCTTAGAGTAGAAAAGATTCACTTAACTTAACAGCATTGATTTTTTTACTTAACACGGGTAACGGACCAATGAGGTTCAAGGATTTAGAGAACAAAAGTAAAATTGTAATGCTTCAAACTTCAACTTATCAGCTGTTCAGGCCATACTAATTTATTGTCAATGAGTGGTGCAATTAGTCTTAGGTAAAAAGATTCCTTGCATCACTATCAGTGGCAATGAGAGGTTATAAACCAAAAAATAACCTCTCTCTTAGAAGTTATGAGTACTGTAATGAATGTTAGTAATTAAAACACTGTTGTAGGTAAAGTAGTGTACGCAACTCGCGCAAATAGTCTTATCGACACTCATAGAGGTTTTTAAGGAACTCGCCAAGGCTCGTACCGGTACCTTAAATTTCTACTCTTGTCTTTAACACTATCATTACGAGATTGTTGCGTAACGGGATATAACAACAATCTGATATCTTTAATGGGCCTGGGCCCACTGGTTCCAAGAGGCCGAGGGGGGCAAGAGGTTTTAGGTTTGTAGGAGGCAAAAAGATGAGAAAAATTTCCTCCCAAGGAAGGAGGGAGGGGCGCAAATACTTCTCGGACCCATAGCAGGTCACATGCAAACAGCAGGCCTGCTCTTTCCCATTATAATAATAATATAATACTTAAAGAGATGTTTCTATCAAGTTTCATTTCAATGTTCTCTCTCAACACAAGTCAAGCCTGATGGTCGTGTCTTTAAAACTATACTACAGGGTGTCCCGGAACTCTCTACCAATATTTTAGGGCATTGCTCCTGGGTAAGAAACATAACTAAATATCATATTTAAACTGTCCAGAAGTCCTTAGTTACTCACACAGCCGCCATTTTGTTTTTTTCAGTTATTTATTTTTTTCTAAAGAATAGTTAAACATACGAAATGGAAACTTTGCACAAACATTTATGACAACTAGACAAAGCTACCAAAAAATTATCACAATTTTTTAAATTCATAAAACAAAATGGTGGCCATTTAAAATTTTTGTAAAATCAATGGTTTTTGAGTTATTTAAGAAAAAAATTTTTTTAAATGGCCGCCATTTTGTTTTACGAATTTGAAAAATATTCATACTTTTTTTGTAGCTTTGTCTAGTTGTCATAAATGTTTGTGCAAAGTTTCCATTTCGTATGTTTAACCGTTCTTTGGAAAAAAATAATAACTGAAAAAACAAAATGGCGGCTGTGTGAGTAACTAAGGACTTCCGGACAATTTGAATATGATATTTAGGTACGTTTCTTACCCAGGATCAATGTCCTAAAATATTGGTAGAGAGTTCCGGGACATCCTGTATATTGAAAATTAATTAATAATTCTGAAAAACCCATGGAGTATTCAAGAATAAATATTTTTCAAAATATAGAATAGTTACCGTATGGTTTTTATTCAAATACCAATGTAAAGTTAGGTTTCTAAATGCTCTGTCATTCTTTGAATATTTTAATCTTTGATTAATTATGTTTTGATTTCCTACAGGTTTGCCATTGATGGAAGCACAGTGTTGTTAATAGAATCACAATCACCTTTCTTCAAGTCAAAACTTCGATCTGTCACAATTTAAATAGCTTTATAAATCTTATAAAAATGTTTAGTTTATAAAATATTTATACATTTTACAAAACAAGTATTTCCTTACTTCCTCCATTCATAGTAAAAATCCTACATTGGTACAAAAAAGGTAAGCTAACCCTTTATCTTACAGCTATCCTAAAAATATAGATCTATTTTCTTACGATGGGTGAATGACATTAATTTAATTCTATTGTGAGAGAACAACAATATTTTTTAGTCTTTTGTGTTCAAAATAGCCAGTAAATGTACAATAAAGGAAACACTCTTCCATTATACCTGAAAATGGCAGGTATGTACTCAATGTCATAGCCAAGGGTTCTTATGGATAAAAAAGGTAGAATAACAACACTGATAATGGTAATTTTGAACTCATTGTTTAGGAATATTAACCATTTATAAAAATAAAATGTATTTAATGATTGTTTCAAATATTGTATGTTAACTTTTTTAATACATTGCCATGTTAAAGATGTAGCTATTTTTCTAATCTACAGTTCAATGTAGCAAACGTCTGAGCTGCTAAAATTGAATGTCTTGTCTTAGAGTATGTTTGAATCATGTCAAAATGAAAGGCCAGGTTATTGTAAGCTATAACTTATTTTTATCCATCAACTATCATAATGTGACATACTAAATTAGGAAATACAGTAGAACCTTGTTAATTCGAGTAATGTTTGTCTGTTCCCCTCAGAAAACCTCTAAAATCCAAAAAATAATATACCGATAATTCAAAGTGATTTTTACGCTTAATACAACCTCTAAAATTCAAATTTGCGCATACTCGAGCCTCTACAATTCGAATTTTGTTGCCGTATATCAAATTGTTACCTCAAAAATTCGAAGTCAACCTCTACAATTCAAACTGCGTAAACATAAGCCTCTGTAATTCGAATTCAGGACAAAAAGTATGCATGTTGCAACATGAACTGACACTCTTATTGATGTACTCTTATTGTATTGATGTTCATTAGTCTCTGTTCTTTCAAACTCTACACTTAAAACTGGGATCTCTATTATTCAAATTTTATTTATTCTGAGCTCTATAATTCAAACACTCTATATTTCAAACTTCCTAAAATTCTAAATATATTGTCTTTCCTCTGAAATTTGAATTAGCGAGGTTCTACTGTATAACCTCAATTGTAGTATATACCGGTACATTATGAGAGGCTCGGCCAACTCCTGTTCTTGTTGAGTAAAAAAATGTTACAACTGATTCATCTAGATGAAATGTCTTGTCCAGTAGCCAAAGCCAATGGTAAAACTAAAACAAAATAGTATTACTACAATTATAACCAAATACAAATTGGAAAACCACAGAATAAGATGCAAGCAGATCAATGTGGTTTTTGAATAATATTTTTGAAATTTACGTTTAAAATTAATATAAAAAGGTTGGCAGTCCTTTTTATCCTTGAATTCGACCATCCACATAAAAGTCAGAGGCCTGACAATGGAAAGTATTAGGCAAAGCGGTTAGTGAGCTGGCAGAGTACCTACACAAATGAACTGCACTGATAAATTTTAAGTAGCGGCATCGGGAAACGAACCCCCGTCATTGCTCCTTTGGTTCCATAGTTCACCACTATGTCCATACATAACATGGGAACCCTACACATCAATGTTTTCACATAATATTTTGTATCAAAATTAATTCTTTATTCCAGAAAACATTAAATATATAAAATAATATAATTTGTTCAGTAATTATCTAAAATCTAGTACAACCAAATTTATCTTAATCTTAAAGTAAATCAAAGTAACAACTTAATGAGCACTTATTCAACTGTTTAGGCTAAAAAACACTAAATACAAAAGTGCTGTACACAAACAATAACATAAAACTGAAAGGCTGGGAGGGAATGAAACTCAAAGAGACAGTTTGATTTGTGGGAACGTGAGGGACGGAGTAGTTTATCCTCAAGAGTCTATCTGTAGTTGCTAAGTATATGTCAAACTGAGAAGCTGTGCAGCGCAGTCGAAACTGATGAGGGGAGGGGGGAACTGATAGACGAAGATCAGACACTGACGTGTCAACATCTCCTGCGATCACATAGCTCCTTATCTCAGCGACTGCAGAGTCAGAGATCTGATCAACAATCACAGAATAACATGAGAGCTGTAAACCTTCAAAAGTGGAACTTAAATTTAAATACATTTGAAAAAAGAGGGTTTAGGAAAAAAGATACTTTACTTATTCTGGAAACCCATATGACTGCAGTTTATAAACATTTTGTATTGTTGCGTAGCATATTATTAGTAACATATGATATCTTTTAACATAAAAATCAGTGGATATTTTATGACAGGCACAGGACTCTTGACTAAACCCTCATGCTATAAGTAGCATTGACTCATAGGGATTATAGAACATTATGCCATGAGTACAAAATAAACACTTCAAGTGTTCAATTAATGCAATCTACTTAGCGTATTGTACATATACACTCAAGCACATAAATACTGCTTTTATTTTATAATTCAAAATACACAGCTTAAGCTTCTCTCATTAACGTAAACAGCTTGGATCCCCAATTAGTAAATATCAATAATTATGTTCTAGTGTGTCATAAATTAGCTTGTTTGGTAGTGACTAATAATAATACATTAAAATATAATTAAATAAACTATTTCGATAGTTTATTATTAAAATTTTGTTGTTAGTTTTTATGTTAGTGGATCGTCGTAACAAATTTTGTTTAGCATTTATTTTTCACGGTAGGCTAATCAAGTACTATCATACAATTTACAAAAACAAGAAATAGCAAATCATATAAAGACATGTATAAATATATGGTATATCGCGAGCTTAAGTGGTACTGATATAATGAAGAAGTTAACGACTGAAAAGATGTTAACCACTCAATCGCAATGTGAATAAAGCCAACTGAAAAAAGTATACAGTAGAAGGTTTTTGCAGACATTGGCTGATACACATGCAGGAATCAAGAGTATTTAAATGATTTACAAATAATTTAATTAGAGGTGCACTAACATATTCCCTGTTCCTAATACAAAGCATTCAGCCATGTTAGAATTCCTATGTGGGTGTAGAAATGATCAGCCTGATTCACTTCTGAGCAAGCCAATGGGGGTTTTTGTTCAAGTCAAATATCATGCTTAAATCATAAACCTGTCCATTGTCGCACAATGGTTCTACTTACAAGGCAAACTATTTACTTTTCCTGTCTCTAGTAGAGTTGATGGCCTCCATGCCATACTTTAAACTTATAATTTAGTTCAGCTAATACTTTCAGATTTTTATCGCATTATGTGTTTTGGATAGAGATTTTACAAAGTCTAATGTAAACTCTGATGATAAATAATTAATAAAGAAACTAACTATCTCCAAATATAACCTCTTCCTTGGTTGAAATTTATCAGTCTACATCTAGTGGAGATATAAGTTATTTCCACCAAAGATATTCATCAGGATTCCTTTTGAACTTTATCAATAAAAGTGTATAATGATACTCATGCTGTACCTAGTCTACCCTAACTGACTGGGACTCTTCCAAAATTTCTCCCAGACAAGTCGGCAGTTAGTTCACAAGACTCATTATTCCCTCTCAGGTCTTTTAGGATTACAATGGGGACTTCAAGTTCAGGATTTAGCCCACCCTCAAGCCTTATGAGATAAGTGGCTAGATTAAATAAATACAAATACAATTGGATTATTAAAAGGCATGAATGACTTAACATTCTAGTATCTATCATCTTGCAAGAATAACTGGTTCCACAAAATGTCTTCATGGCTATGAAGGATATCATTTCAGCATTTGTGTATAGCATTTTTAATTAAAAATGTTTTTGTCAAATTAACTAAATGAAATATTTATGATAGTATCTTGTTCGGCTAAAACATAAAAATATAAAATTAAGAACTAAAAACTCATGGAGGGGTTTTCAATTTTATTCAATGTTAACTTCTTGTAGCTCATAAAAAGCTACCGAGCTGTTGAGAGATGTATACATGGTAAATACCTTATGTACGAATTGTACATTGATATGATATTGTGGTAAATGAGATGAAATATGCAAATTGAACTACAGAAACTTTCATTTTAAACCTGAAAAGATTAATTTACTGTTTAAGGAAAGAAGAAGAGACAATCTACCAAGAACAACTAAGAGAAATAGTTATCAAACCATCCAGCATTCTAATCACACTTAATGCTGCAATAGTTTTTTTAAGAACTTATATAACTCTGTCTTGTATATCCGGCCAACACATCTCTAGAATATAATGAATCATTAAGTAAAGGGGAGAGTCAATGTAATACAAGAATGAACAGTGTGCATAGATTGAATAATTTAGTGGCGAGCGGAATTATTAGAACCCTTCTCCCACAACCTTCGCGTCGCGTCTGTACAGTCATCTAAAATATTGACTTTAGATCTTATTTAAATACATATTTAAAGTAGGGAAAAGTGGAGGAAAAAGTTGCCTGTCTCTCTCTTTGGCATCCTAATTGACACAATATTTCCTAAATTGATTAAATTTAGTAATTATCTTACTACGTAACTGCCAGAGTTCCGAGGATAAATTGAGCAATCATTGAAAACAATATTAGTTTAAGTGATTTAAAATTATAAAAACGTAAGATTCGTTAATCTTAATGATTTTGAACGGAAAAAGAAACCACCAATCATAGAGTCAAAACCTAAAAGTACCAAGCAAAAGTTCTTTTTGGTCTGTATCTTGAATGGAGTATTAAAAACTAGAATTGAATCAATTGAACTGAATTGGAATTGAATTAACACAGAAATGTTATGACAAGAAAAATTATTTTAATTTTATTTTGCAAAACCAAACACACATCTGTATTCAAGACAGATTTTATCATCTCTGTTGCCGTACATAAACCACAAATTTACAGACAAATATGAAACATGTGTAGGTAAAATGGTTTATACATTTTATAGAAGAAGATAAATATGGATATAATGCTGGAAATGGAGCGTCCATGTAAACTTAATTTGTCAAATTCATGTCTCTGTTCACTAATGTAAGCGTATTCCATCGGCCCCATCCATCACAAACTTTCAACAAACATATTCATCCTCAATGTTTACAAGGTCAAAGATTAATGTCAAAACTTTACCACTCACTGCGCCATTGCCAGTCAACCTGATATTTACTAGAGTGTCCTGTTTTGTTAGTGATAACTTTTCTTGCCCGTTTATATCTTGAGAAAATATTATTCTTAGAACTTGTATCCTAGATTGATATACAAGGTGTGTTTGAAAACTGTTATAAATTAGTTTTTTTTTAAATACAATTTAAAATTTGGTTAAAAAATGTGTGCTTCATTGACATAATAGATGAGGGGTTTTCTATCTCAATACAGTACAGTAGACCCTTCTTATCCAGACACCTTTAACCAACTTAAATTTAACCAAACTACACTTGGCAGAAGTGACATCTCTTTAAAGGACAATTTTTGTTAGCAACCAGACTGGATTGGCAGGAAGTGGGTGGTACTGGAACGATGATGATGTTTTTGTGGGAAAGATTCAAGACCAGTGACCACTTGTGAATATAAAACCATTTAACTAGAACATAAGAAATTTATTTCTCCTTAGATTACAAAAGATAAATTTTTGACCTTCATTTTAGTTTTGTCACCATAGACTTTCTGGTCTGTGTAGAGTAGTGATAAACAAATAGTGAAACACTGTTATAAAATATAAGCCAGAATGATGAGATAGTGCAAGCTGATCTAGAATCTTGAATCACCATAATCTGTCTTATCAGTCCAAGACACTTCCACTCAGTGATGGTTATAGGACCTTGTCAAGGAGGGGGGGGGGGGTTAATAGGGGTATTTTCACACTGACATCCAGGAGGGGAGTCCGGAGGTCCCCCCTCAAGATATTTTTCTATTTTCAAAGCCGTTTGTTGACTTTTGAAAGCCGTTTTTAATGTATAGAACTGTGTCCAAAAACCTCCTTTATGCTTTAATGATGAAAAATATGTTTACGTTTATATTTCCAGGGTTAATGGGGGGGGGGGGGGGGGGTTAGCCCCTATAGCCCCCCTCGGAACCACCAGTGCTTCCACTTCTATGCTACTGTTTACCTGTTTGTCATCAAGGTACCAGGTGATGTTCACTGGGGGATGACCTCCCCTAGAACTACACCTAGCAGAGATGTCTTCCCCTTCATTATACACACTCTTGCTAGTCACTAGGGATGGTCTTGATACAGGGTCTTCTGAAACCCGCAGCACATTAATGTAGAAACATTGCACTATATTGTACTGCAAGCTTTGCCAGTTGTTAGAAAAGGATAACTTATTTCCACGTCAAAGCTGTATCCTGTTTTAGATTATTAAAAATTAACACAGTTGAGGCAAAACTAAAAATACACCTTTTTTGTAAATTATAGAGTACCTATTTTGAAATCACAACAACTATAAATATCTAAAGAATTATATAGAATTTTTCAGTAGCATACTTCGTGAGTGAGTGGCTCGTTCAATTATAAGTTCTGTTTGAATAAAATATTGCTACCTACTGCTGGTTCATGAAAATGACCATCGTCTTTGGACTACTTCAAAATCCTTCAGGATGAGCGTTTTTCCCATAAGGCACATTGGGATGGCCTTTAAGGGCCATCAGCTCCGCAATAATAAAAGAATCAATCAAAATAAGTAATCAACCTAACCCATTGTAAAGTTTTAGACAGCTGAATGCATTGAACTCATATTTGTAGTTTGTTGATAATAATTGAATTAAGTGTGATATAATATGTAAGAAAAAGAACTCGTGCTTTTTTATGTTGTTTATGGTGTGTTCCTAGTGTGGTGGCTTTAGATGGCCTAAAAATATTATCCAAAATAGGGTTTCTTCCTGAAACCATCCAGTTTTGAATATTCCATACCCCTAAACCCTCAAAACATGATACCTATTGTCTGCGGGAGGCCCTGTTTGCTTGTTTCTGAGTGTAAAAACTGTTGCCTCACCTGTGACAGAGACAAAGTACGACTTGATGATGGTGTGGAACAGTGGTTCCTCAGTCACCTCACATTTGTAGATACCCGCCAAACCTCGATGCATCGGTCCAAGTGTCACCACTGACTTGTTGAGACTATTCATCTGTAACTATGGTTACAATGTGACTAGACAGTTCTTATTGAAATACTTGCAGCTCTCTATCCTTTGCAAAAGGGGTCATCTATTTAAATGTTTAGGGAATAATTTTAAAGTACTGTAAAGTTTGGCTACTAGAGTAACTGCCATCATATGAAAATGCTAAACACAATATGGGTCTCCCATTTCATTGTCACGAAGAATAAATTAACTGCTGAATATTGCTTTAGAAAAATTCCCATTAGTGAACTAGCTTTTACCATAGGTCTCGGTAGGACCCAAAGCCAGGACTGATTTACTATTCCATTTTGATGTCTCCAGAGGCGAAAAACACAATTCGTTGAAGTTTATTTATATATATCTCCATTAGTACAACAACTCAAGTAAAAATGATCTGAATTTGATAGAATTTGGTACAAACGTGTAAACAAACCTAGGTTTTTTTTAACAAGTTCATATACCATCATGATCGGACTATGAAACTAGAGGTTTAAGAGGGGGGGGGGGGGGGGGGTTCACGGGGTAAAAGTTTGTTTTTCCAATTTTTTTCCTTCAAAGTATACAATTTAGCAGTTTCTTTCCGAAGCATTTTGTAGACCTTGAAAAACGAATAATTTATTAGAGATATTGAAGCTTCGTTGTACGTCTAATATGTTTATGGGAAGATTCAAAATAACTAAATATTTAAAATTTCTTTGTTAATCTTATGGAAAATAAGGAAACTGTTGTAGTTTACTTGTTTATGGATGTGTTTCAATCAAATTTGGTACAATTATTTGTTTCATACCAAGCCATTAGTATTTAAATAAAAAAAAAACCTTTGTGATTTTTCTTTTAGCAACAAATCTAAGTACTTACTAACCCTGGGGAATAAATATAACATGTTTTATGGAATATTTAAGTAGAAATCTGATCAGGCTATTCGCTTAGTCAACAGGTTCGCTGTGGCAGGGGTGTTAAAATATTTAATATGGATTTATCAAAATACATTATAAATAATTTTTGGCTTAAGAAAATAACTTTAAAATATTAAAAAGATTTATTTTCATACAAGTCTTGTGATTTGGCTAATTTTGTATAGATCAATAACATTTGACTGGAAATAATATTTTTTTGTGTTCCTTAATGAGCCACTTCTAGTTTTACTAGGTTAGATGTGTAAATTTCCTTTAACGACAACCATCTATTTGCCGATACTTCCCTACAGGGAAATCTGCTAAAAGACATGCTGTTAAGGTCCTTAAGAGGCTAAAATTAGGGGAAAAGTTAACTTCATGATGAAATGCAATAAACTTCTACAATAATTGCTGCTGGTATTGTACGAATATTTAAATGTTTATTTTTACCATTCTTATTATTTGTATTCACAAAACTGTAACCGTTAAAGGCATTTACATGTTACTTAATACTATTTTAGTAAAATGTCTGTTTCTACAAGGGGGTTTAGACCAAACATCAAATGTAAAAGAATATATTTAGTCACAGTAACAATAACAGGTATCATGTTATAGTTAATTCATCAAAGTGTTTGTTCTTGTTGTTGTGCTTATCTGTGATTCTTTACCTGGAGTGTGGAGAATACATTCGCTTAAGGATTTTTAGATGCTGAGTTTAGTATCACCAACTTACAAGAATGTAAATTGGTATGTTTATTTCAATTGGTTTTTGTTTGGATGTAATAATATTTATTATTTTCTTTTGCGATTAAATTATAACTCTTTACTTTTATAAATGATTTGATATATGGTAAGTAAAGTTATAAGTGATCTACGCTCATTCATCAACCCAACTTAAAAACTAATACGCTTAGAATTACTTTCCATCTGATAAAAATTGCAGTTTGTATAATAGTAGACTACACAAACATTTTTCCATTAGAAATTGTAACATCTAATTGTAACTATTACTGAATAATATTCTATAAATACCTGGAAATTTTGCATAAACATTCATCAAATAATTTCCACGCTATCAACTCTAGTATACTGGTTATTGTTTTATTTTAAATTCAATGTCTTAAACTTCAATATAGTTATATACAGTAACAATTTAAGACCTCAGGTTTAAATGTTACGTACAATACTCATATTAGCAAAAGTTCTAAATAATTATTTTCCAAACTAACATGTACAGAAGCATCTTGAAGAGGAAACATCATGGTAGGAGGTCTGTCCCGGGGAACGAAGCGGAAGAACTCTGTGTCCTCCAGGTACAGCTTGGCGGTGTAGAGGGAGTTTCTGTCAAGGTGGTAGGCACAAGTTAGTGTCATGAAGCCTCCGGTCCTGACTGCTTCGGGAGCCTCAAGAGTTACATCTCTGAGAGATTCCAGTCCTACAAAAAGTTTTGAAACCTATCAGTGCTGCTTTGATATCTCAAATGCTTAAAAACCCTGGTTGTCTGGACCTGGTAGCCGCTGAGGGACATAGAAAACATAACTATTTCCCTCAAACGTCTTCTCTGAGACTGGGATCAATTATATGTCCGCATCATAATGTCGTGATAAAAGTTTTAACATATCCCGCGATCGAGGCCAAATAAAGAGTATCTTCCACTCCCACGACTGCCAAGACATCATCACCGTCACCCGTGCTCCCACCAATATCTCTGTGTTTCCCCACGGTCACAAAGACATCATTATCGCTTTCGCGATTGCGGCAATATTATGACACTCCCTAGCCGTAGCAAGGACATCATCATCATCACCTCTCGTGATCACGGCAAATCAAATCTAAATTAAATTTACAACAAAAAGATTTCATACAATGTTTTGAATACAAAAAACTGCATAAGCCATGCATATTCCCCTGCTCTACATCTCCCAATGTACATCCCCAACAGTATGTGTCTGTGTCTGTCTGTATGTATGTGTGGATGTGTACACTGTACAGAGCTACAGACCACACCTGTAGTCCGATTTTGACGAAATTTTGTACGAAGGTACTAATCCATGGTATCTCCAAGTGTTTTTTTCTTCATTTTTTTTTATTGATTTTCAATGGTGATATTCCCATAAAATAACAGGAAAAACCCCAAACGATTTTGATAAAAATTTAGTATATGTTATAGTCCCTTAAATTCTGAACAAAATGGTAGAACTATCTTTGCTGTATAAATTACGGTCCAAAAGTTATTATAACTTATGTTATTTCCCCATAAAACCCCCATAAAATAACAGAAAAACGGATTTTTGGAAAAAAACTGGTTTTGATAAAAATTATTATCTTATGGTCCTTTTAATTCTAAACACAATAGTGCAACCCCCCATTGCTATAATAATTACCGTTCAAAAGTTATTGCAACTTTTGTGATTTTCCCTAGAAAATAGTTACTCCCATCCCTCCGCTTACCCATGATAAAGGTTGTTGACAAGCTAATGGGAGAAAGTATGAGTCAGATTGCTGATACCGTTGATTTAGAATGGCGTACAACAACGCCTCAATACATTTAATTGTTTGTTCTTTAAGCTATACAAAATAGTTCAGAAAGAATGCAAAATTTTATGTTAAGAGTCAAAAATAGGAAAACCCAATGTTACCCCTAAAAACCCGTTCCCATGATTCAATCATGCTGGTTCACGAAATTGTTTGAATAAATGTAGATTTACAAATTTGACTGAATTTCATCAGTCAGATGGTTTTATTCAAGTTTATATGTTGTGAATACTTAAATACAGTTATATACAAGTTATATGCAGTTTACTTTTTAATATGCTTTAATTTACTACTTTAATATGCAGTTATATGAGTTCATTATTAAAACTGATGGTGTTTTTGGCCTCTGGGGACATCAAAACAAAAACATATATAGGGTCTAGGTCTTACCATGAGACTTACGGTAGTAGCTTATTTCCTAAATGAGAAAGTTGCTTAAAGTTCACATGGCATAATTTACACATAAACGCTTAAGATTGTTATGTATTCTGTCTTGAAGCGTCAAACTACAAGTGTGTCTGTTTGAACTGTTAACTGTGTACACAGGAGTTAAGTATTTCCCACTGACTTATTCTTAATATGATTCTACGTACGTGATTATAGAGTACACAGATGCTGAAACCTGGTATTCAATGAATGATATGTAATTAAAATTTGACAATAAGGGATAGTGTCCCCGTTTTACTACACCTGTTTAGATGGAATGACTAAGTTTACGAAAAAAATATAGATTCTTAACATACACTTATCAAACAAAAAACCTGGTATGTTTTCGATGTTTCAATAGATATTTTATAATTGGAATTTAACGCTAATTTTACTCGTTCGGTATTTTTGCTATTACTGTACAATATGAATACCTACTGATAGTGTATAGTGATTGAGTAGCGTGGACTTTTTGTACGCATAGACTTATTATTGAGTGCTCACTAAATATCCTTCTAGATGGATAGCCCTTTGAGTAATTATAAAAAGCAAATTTGAGGTTTATTTCACCTATGTGCTTTAGTTTCGACTCACATTCCCTCCGTGCAGCACCACACACCTCTATCCAATTTTATTTGTGTACGTATACCTATTTAAATATTTTCTGTGTCATATTTTATTTTGTTTGTGTTTATTTATGTTTCAGATCTTAGCAGGTTTGTATAGTTATTGTAACTTTTGTCCTTTTTCCCGTTATTTGCAAATTATTTATTTTAAATGTCACAATTTTTGTTTTCATAATCTGAAATTTTCTGTTTTTTAAACAAAATTCTCTTTATATAAAGAAATTATGTTAAGTTTGGAAAGGGCAAGGAAAAAATTATTTTGTTAAAAACCACAGAATGGTATATATCCGTGTAAATTTACATTTTGGGACATATTTTCACATTTCTAAATCCACTTTGATCCATATTATCCAAAGATAGTTCGCAGAATGAAAGGCAACCCTGCATATGAATAGTAAATAATTAGTTACTAATTGACACAGACACGCTGTATATTTAGTTACAATAAACCTAATCTCGAGAATAATGTATGTGTATGATGTTGCATAATAGCATAATGTGTACACTAATATATACTAAGTAGACGTCATTCAATCACTATACACTAGTTACGACTCTTTGATTTACTATCAGTAGATATATTCAGATCGTACAGCAATGAAAAAAACTTAAATAGCAAAATTAACATTAAATTCCAATTAAGAACTATCCATTGAAACATCGAAAAGTTCACGATCAAAGTTGTTTATTCCAAATGTATTATCTTTTTGATTAAATAACTTCTTGATCAGCATTGTACGTGTTAAAAAAATATTACGGAAAGTAAATAAAAGAAACGTCTTATAACAATAAAAACATATATTTATGCTTATACACCTCACAACCTTACAGTCATAAATATACTGCCTATTGCCTATTGGGTCTGATGATGATTGAAGTGGCCAATCGAAATCGATCACCACTTACCATTTCTTTTATTTTTATATTTACTGTCTTGTGAGTAACAGTATAAGCGTAAATATATGTTTTAAGTGTTATAAGACTGTTCTTTTATTTGCTTTCCTTAACCTTTTGATTGTCATTGATCTTAGCTGTAACGATCCACACTTCACATAGGTTTATTCCAGTAAAGATTATATCCGTAAAAGGGCGTCAGGTGTACTCAGCTGTATTATTCACTTTTAATATTTAAACAGATTTGAATCCCGATAAAAAAAACGGATACAAAATTTGTCTAAACATATTTTGATGAAGAGTATAAAAGATGGTTTGACGTAGATAAAGTGAGGACAAAAGGCAGCAGCGAAGGGAGCGTGCCAACACGACACAATAGCGGGCGTTTGTCTTCCAAAATTAGCTCGGTCACAATGGAAGCTTACGCCAAGCGTCTCCGTGATTCGGGAATCGTCACAGGCTGCTACAAGCTGATAGTGTCATGTATTTTGTCTGATTGCTAACTACCTAGATGTAACTCGGCCGACGATGATCAATATGCGTAGGTACAACCTGCAGGGAACAAAAATAAAAAATCTTGCTTACAATTATGAAATAATAAGCATTACTTAGTTTATGCTGAATATTATAGGGTATAATAATCCAAGTGGCGTAGCATGTCTAGGAAAATTATCGTCTAGATCAATATTATTTATAACCAAAACACTACACATACACTTTGGTCTACAGAGTTTTAAGTCAGAAAAAAATAAAAAAAGTCACCGCACCTGTTTAAGTCGGACGTCAGGGAGGGGCTCATTTAGAGGATATCCGGATATCTTAGGGTACCATATGAGATAAAACTGTAATGTCAGAGTTTGAGCTAAAATAGTAAAAAGTGGTAGACCTATGAGACCTATGAGAAAAATTCCAATAAAAGGTGTAAGGTGTACACTGGACCTTACGAGATGTGGGATGAGATTCTAATAAGTGGATATGACTTAAATCATTATGTGAGGTTAAGAGCTAAATATTTGCAGTGACGCACATAGAGCATTATGAAAGTCGTCATGCATTACTTATTGCAGTAAAACACTCTAAGTATATTACAAAACATAAATGTGTAAACGCAACATAATTGATCACAGGATTAAATGTATTTTCTAAAAACCCCGATCAATTCAAACACTTGTTAGAGAAACATTTATACTAGTGACCACAGCTAAAATTCAAAATGCTCCACAAAATTATCGACTCGATGGTTAAATTTTCTTTATACATGTTAATACTCTATGTAAAAGACATCTTAAAAAGTATTCCGTTTGAATTGGATATATAAATCCAAACGAATAGTGTTTTGGCCTCTCGGGATATAAAAAATAACAAGTAAACTGGTGCCAGATCTAGACCTTGCCACCTACGGTAATACAGTAGCTTTTTCCCTACATGGAAATTCTCTAAAATGTAATAAATCGATTATAACCTGTTGAGTGAGTGACAGGCTAGTCATTCGGACATATCAATGTCTACCTTCAAACAGTGTCAATAATTCCCGCACCGCAGACATTTCCAGGAATACACACCGTACGTTGAAGCAAAAGCCAGGTGCCATTAAAAGTTAATTTAACGCATCGATCCGTTTGCTGGTTTATAAACTTAAACAATAAAAAAAATCCGTAATACCTGAAGCTATACTATGTAGCAAACAGAAGAATTGTGAAACACGAGTTAGTTGATTGTTGTTTAAAAGAAATAATTCATTTAATATACTAAATTTTAACGAATGTTGTAATTGACAGGATGACAGATTGAGACGAAAGGTTGATCTACACACATGAATTCAGTCACAGTCCAGTCTCAGTTGCATACCCAATTCTTCAGTCAACCGTCCGTCAGTTGGTTTCAGTCAGTCTTCCGTCACTTTATTTACAGTGATGTTACAGTCAAGAATCTTTAAATATAACACAATATTCTACTAAATTTTCATCGTCCATCTTGTTGATTGTTACAAACAGTAACTTAAAATATAAACACAATCATTTAGACAAAAAACTATTTTCTAACCTCAAAAATGTCCGTCAGGTGTTGAAACAACCCTAAAATATCGGTGGGAAGAAATCTGAAAATGACTGACGGACATCGGCAGAGCGACTGACTGAATTGCGACGGATGAATGTGGATAGCACAATAGAAAATACATTGAGGAATATTCTTTTTTACTGTGACGTGACTGATGTGACTGAATTGTGCCGTGCGGAACTGATGTGTGTGAATCGACCTTAATGCGTGAAATTGAATCACCCCAATTAACATTTGATAATTTATCCTTTTCGTGTATTTTACCTTGTATCTAAGAGTTATCAGGGTATGCTGTTGATTCATGACAATGCACTGTGCGTCAAGCGTATTCAATTATTGACAAAATAGAATAACAATGAAATGCACTAAATTATTACAATTATATTTGTTGGTTCAGCTTTTTATTTTAAGGAATACGTTAGTTTTTTACAATTTTTTTTGACATTTTCATAACATCATTAAATTGCAAAGCACAATGACTGACGCTCAGCATTTTCATGAAGACTACGGCAATAGCTACTTCTCTGTAGGAAAATTCGAAAAAATTATAAAAATGAAAAACATCAGTAATTTCTGGTGTATTTACTTTATTTAAAACTAAAACAAAATAGTTTAACTAATTTTACTACCTTTAAAAATAAAGAACTTTCCACTTTCAGAATTCCTTAGCTTGTGTCAGAAATAATTAATCCCTCAATGACCTTAAGAAAAAGTTAGGTCACAATACTGCCACTAGGCCATGATAAGACTCACACTATTCTAGTGTTTTAGTTTGGTTAGTACTTGATATAAAATGTACAGTATACCAGCAATCGTGTTTATCTTATTTACAAAAGTTGGAATCAGTGATGCAAAGCGAGCGACTTTTTTTGTAAACGGACGGATGAATTGCAACCAATGACATGCATTTTTTACTGTGTGGTTGCGGACGATCAATATCCAAACCGTACCAGATCTGTCACTACAAATATTTTTAAATTTTGAGTATGAGTTTTTTTTTTTTATTAAGGCTATAATTAAAATTGTTGGTCAATTGAAAAAGGTGCACATTTGGGCCCATAACATTTGTTATTGTTATTGTAATGAATCGGTTAACAGACTTGTACGGTTTCTTCATTGATGGTTAAAACCTCAAACCTTAAAAGTTAAGTACTATTAAATTCACAAACTTTAGTACAATTTTCCTTTGATGGCATTACGTTCTTTTGAGATGATTACATTTGTGAATTTTTCAGCTAAACAATTTAAAAAATGAAGTTGTAAAAATTTTTAAATTACATATAAAAATATAAAGTAAAATTTTAGATGGTTTCACTAAGCTTAAATTTTCTAACCTAAGTTCATAAAATCATGGAAATACAGACAGAAAAGTTTGTGTAGGGAAATATGTAATTTTGTCAAAGAAAAATTTTGTATGTATACTGTCAGTTTGTTTTTACCATGCTGTAAATTATTGACTTAAGTAATCACTCAAACACATACTTTTGCCGTAAATGTCCTAAGTAATTACTTATATAAACACATGAAAATCGTTTGTACACAATCCTGTAAAAGTGTTTTAGTTTATAAGCAGTTTGAAATACACGTGCAGTTCTTACTAAGAAGACTAACTCGCTGATATGTCAGGTTTATAGTATGGTCAAGGGGAAAATAATGGAAACATTAAAAATTAGGAGTTTTAATTTACCAAACTCGTAAATGGAGGCTAGGTTTGGAAACAAAATAAATATTTGAACATTATGAAATCCAAAATCGGAGAATATTTCTCGATTATGTATTCTTGCCTAACTCAGTTTATGGGACAATAATTATGAAAAATAAATAATTATATTATATTTAAATAATATTACTTTTAATAAGTACCTACTTAGGTTTGCCGTTACAGTGAATTTAATAAAGTATGTTTTCATTGAAATGCTACTAGCTTGGTATGAAATAAACAAACACGTCAAGTTTTATAAAAATGTATCACTAAACAAGCAAACTACAAGAGTTTATTTATTCTTCATCACATTAGCATGACAATTTTACATTTACAGGTTTTTTCGAATTTTCCTTGTAACCATTAGGCATACAGTTATGCTTCAATGCACTTAATTATTTATTTTAAGCTCTATACAATAGTTTGGAAGCAGTGGCGTAACAAATTTTTACGGGCCCCCCTGCAAACTTATTTTTTGGGCCCCCTCTTATTAGTTTATTTTTAGACCACCGATACAACATAATAATGTTACATCACTACACCATTATATCAATATTAGTGTTTGTAAATAGTTTTGAAATAATTGAAATCGAATAAAAAACCTTATTTTCCATCCGTCTATGAGAATGTTTATATCAAGGAGGTTAAAAATTTTACATTTAATTTATTACACATGTTATTAATTTTTATTACCCTGATAATTAGACTAATTCGTTAATTACATGGCAAAGATGTGGTTCGAATTCCCCTATTAAACCCTTAGGGCCCCCCGCATTGCGGGCCCTGCGGGCCCTTCTGTTACGCCACTGTTTGGAAGGAATTCGCAGAGATTTATGTTTCATTTATCAAAAATGGGGAAACAAGTTTTTACCTCACAAAACCCCGTCCCCATAGTCCGAAAATTCTGGTTCGGGAACTGATTTGAATAATCGTAGGTTTAGGCATATACCTTTGTACAGAATTTCATCAAAATCGGACGATTTTAACATTGAACTCTATTGTTACTTGAAGTTTGAGTTTTTGGTGGATATATCCGTTTTAGATAGGTACTGTGTGTGTGGATGTGTACAGAGCTACAGAAGACACCTGCGGTTAGATTTAGATTAAATTTGGTATCACTGGTATATCCAGATGTTTTAGGGAAGTAGCTATTACCGTAGGTGGCATGGTAAGACCTAGGCCCGGGATCGATTTATTTTTTCATTTTGATGTCCCCAGAGGCCAAAAACACCATTCGTCAAATTAAAAAAAAACTCAAATAAATATATAAGTCCGTGAACGGGATAACTTGAGTAATTTTTGTCTGATTTTGATGAGATTTGGTTTAAAGGTTCAAGACGGGATAAACTTCAATGAGATCGCGAACCAGTATGATCGGGCCATGAGAACGGGGTTTTACCGGAGGTTTTATGGGGTGAAATTTGGGTTTTCTCATTTTGACCCTAAAAACACAACATTTTCCAATTTATCTCTAGACCTTTTTAAAGAGCTTAAAAAAATTAATTTAGTATATCAAAGTGTTTTTGTACCGTTATTGGAAACGGAAAAATTCAAAAAACTGTAAATTTAAAATTCTTATGTTATTATTATGGGGAATATTGTAAATTGTTGTAGTTTTCCTGTTTATGGATATATTTCGATCAAAATTGGCACATTTATTTATTTTATACTAAGATATTAATATTTTACTAAAAAACACTTTATTCGTTTTCTTGTAGCAGCAAACCTAGGTACTCGTTAAACCTAATGTTATTTAAATACATTTATTTGAAAATCAATTCAGAAATTTTTATTTATTTTTGTTTATTTAAGGCTATTTTCCAAAAAATAAAATTACTTTGATTTAAATTTAGCATGTTGTATTCCTTATCTCTAAACAAAATGTTACAACCCCCATTGCTGTAAAAATTACAATACAAAAGTTATTGCTTCTTACGTGATTTCCTCCATAAAATACCATAGTTACAACCGCATATCCGCGTTGTTGACAAGCTAGTGGGAGAAAGTATGTATCAGATTTCTGATACCGTTTACTTAGTTTAATTTCTAAATAAACATGTCATTTTTGTCAGAATATATTGTTGTATAGAGATTGCGGGCTTTTCATGTCAAAATCACTCACCAATATATGTATTCCAGGAATATAGTGGATGTATAAACGCTTTATTCCAGAAATTATGTGTTTGACAATGGCAGCTCGCCGAAACATGCAACACTTTGACCAAGGTTACAATTTGGAACTGATAAAAGGTGATGCAAAACAATTAATCAACGAACAACGAATTTCAATAACTGTTCAACTAGAAAACTTATAACCAATAATCGTTTGAAGACTAAGACTAAGATGAATAAGGAAATAATGAACTTACCGTGAATCACGTAAACTAGAACGACCAAGAGAGTAGCCAACATTACAAAACTTGTAAACTTCTGTATAATATGAATATCACTTATAAAAAACCAAATATCTAACTTGTAAAGCGTAAGTTATGGTTGTTTTCAATGTCGGAAAGTTTTAAGTGGGATTCTACACTGTAAATTTGAATCAAGTGTCAAAATATGAAGTTAGAAATAGTTGTAGACTTATGCTAAATAGTGAGATTAATGATGAATGTAATTAACAAGGTATTATGACACTAGCTTGAAGTCAACGTCTCAATGCGTTAAGTTCTCATCAAGAATTCAACACGCAAATAGTCTCATAAAAAAAAAACGAGGGAATTTATTTTTACCATAAAATAGAATTTCAGTTATAAAAGTTCCCAAAATAAAGTTAGACATGCACAATTTTATTCGCAAAACTTTCTGGGGAAAGTTTTAATAAGTTTTGTATTTTTATGATGCAGCTCTATGTAAAATAAGTTTTTTTTCACATTTGTGATGGTAAATAGGATTTAATGATTGTAAATAAAGTACTAAAAAGAAAACATAAAAAAGATTTATATAAATAATAATTGTAATTATATCACTAAACCAACTGATGTTTTTTTTTTTAACTTGTGCTTACTACAAATTTCACCTCAGTGTATTTCTCTATTTTAATGTGATTTATATTTGTCTACAAATTCTGGAACTAAGAAATTAATGCCTCGCATTTTATAGAATAAGATAGTACAACCCTCAAATATGTTATGCTGAGATATATTCTATGCCTATATTCTAGGTTATCTGACAGTTTCTTCATTCACAACAACTACCATGTTTGTAGTAGTAGAACCTTGATAACAAGACTCTCATGGGGATTATCAAATAAGAATTGTTATCAAGGTTGACTTCTTATTGAGGTTTGCAATAACATCTAATTAAAGGGTAAAATAAATTCTAGGGGTTTTGAAAACGACACTGGTTATCAAGGGTGACTTGTTATCGAGGGTCTTGTTATCAAGGTTTCACGTAATTTACTGCCATAAAACTTTAATTTACTTTAAAATGAGCCAAGAAACAGGCTCAACTTAGAAATTGTTCAAACATTTTTTATTTGACGTGACTGACTGGCCTTGGAAACAGTTATACAATAGATGTTTCTGTGAGAATCTTTGTTTGAAAATATTTCCGTTAATCCTATAAACATAACATTACTGACGGATTAAGAGAGTTAACAAATGGAGCATTGTTGATTCTTGTCTTAAGTTTACCCTGTAGCAAAATATGTTTAATTAATAAAGTAAATTGTTCGCAAAAGATTAGAACTGTAATTCAAAGTATTAGTTATTACAAATTAAAAATATCTACGAATATGTTTGGGCGTCAAAGTTAAGAACTGTTCATGTAAGTAGTTTTGTTTAAGTTAAAATTTTAAATGTATACATAAATTGTTCGCTTGAATGTATATTGAGTTTTTAGGGACATTCTCAGTTTTTATAGCCCGAAATTTTAGTTGGTAATTAATTTTTTTTAACAAACGTTTTTGCCTAAAAAAATTTTGATAAGTTAGTTTTGAGTGAATTTTTACGATTAAAATTTGAACAAATTTTTAGTTTAAGTAATATTTATATAAGTTGTAACGATTGACATGCACGAACCAATCGAATATATTGTTTTCAGTTTTCTACTCTGTTCTCCTAGTGTCACACATTGCCACAGTCACACATTGTCACAGTACACTTTGCCACAGTCTAGCTACGTCGCACGACCGCGTCGCGGACTCGACTGAGAGCGTCTATTCCCGTATCTTCAACTCTCTAATATATCTTTCCTATCCCCCGTCGTGTCCTCCTAGAACATCTCATTACTGTGGAAATTATATGACAATTAATGTGGATTATAATTCTATATGACAATTAGTGATTTTCCCATACAATTCCTATATCAATCGTGCCAAATGGGACAAAAGATTAATTGCATACATTTTTACTTTATCGGGGCTATGGCCTATACGAAGAAAGTATTGTTTTCGTCAAAATTTTCGAGTTTGAGTTTTGAGTGGATATATCCGTTTTGGGGTATATATCCCTCTGGACCCAAAAAAGTGGTTTTCGAAGTGATGTCTGTATGCGTGGATGTGTACAGAGCTACAGACTACACCTGTAGTCCTATTTTGATGAAATTTGGTATGTAGGTACTAATCCGTGGTATCCCCAGGTTTTTTTAATTTTTTTTAATTTTGATTTTTAATGGTAATTTTCCCATAAAATAACGGAAAAATAAGATTTACTAAAAAATGGCGTGAACTATTTTGATAAAAATTTAGTATTTATAGCCCTTTAAATTCTGAACAAAATGGTATAACTCCCCATTTTATACCAAAAATGACGGTCCTAAAGTTATTGTACCTTATGTTATTTTCCTATAAAACCCCCACAATATTACAGAAAAATGGATTTTCGAAAAAAGCAGGTATTGATAAAAATTAGTATGTCATGGCCCTTATAATTCTTCAAAGCTGCAATTTCTAGAGTAAAGAGTTGAGTAGCTTAGCTATTTTCAGCTATTGAAAAGGAACAGTTTGTCACACATATATCTAACAGTTTATATACCTTTAGTTGTTCTATTTTTGTAACAAATTTTAAATAAGATTTTCACACTAAAAATAAACAATATACCGGTTCTCTTAGTCCTTCATTAGAAATGCAGGAAACTGTTTGGCGAAAAGGGTGGATCACTGAAAATTTTCCGCAATCTACCGGCACGTAGGTCTGAGTCTGGTAATTTGATGTACTTTAGACGTAAATTTACTTTATTCGCTTATTTAAAACACGATTATTAAATTTAAAATTTATTGCTATTTAGCTTAGCAGGAAATCACATACATCCATATTTGATTTTAAAATTTCAATCTATGGCTTTTTAATCAGTTGGTCTGTTATAATTGTTACCTATGACTCTGATTGTAATGTCGGTCAAAGATGCGTCCAGGATCCAAACAGCCTAATATATTATCAGCCTTAAATTGATATATGTATATAAATGTAAAAAATGTAATGTGTTATAGCCAAGTGAATATGTATAATGGAAGATTTAAAATTAAACTAAGAAGACGAGACCATTAACCTTCTTTTTGCTCTAAAAGAGAGTTTGATTGCTCAGGTTCAACATTAGTTTTATATTGCTGTCCAAAACGTGTTTAGGTTATCATCAGCGTCTAAAACCTGCAGCGTTGTAGACTGGAGTTTAAACATACTATCTGATCAATAAAAACATCAACCTGACTTCATTATCCTTCGCCATAATTGTACAACACCTAACATAATTTGGATAATCTTAACGTTTTGTACAATTCTTGTGTAATGTGTATATCGCTCTTAAACTCTTGTTTGAAAGTAATATTTTTCGTTTAAATCGGTTATTTGTACATTGGTCATTGATAATGTGGTTATGCCTAATTCAAACTATGTAACCTTAAGATTTTTCCTCCACGAGAATGACATAGAATAAGAAAACTTTAGAAAACAACGGAACTATCAGTAAGTGAACAAACTTAAAAGTTTGAATCTTTACAATTCGTATTTTAAATTTACATTTGACCTTTTCTCAGATTGTTATATTGTAAATTAATTGAACTAACGTACTCGAACTAATTTAATCTGATTTAATATTACAGATGTTAATGTATGGCATGTAACTGCGTTTTAGTGTTTAAGGTTAGCCTATATGTATTGTATCTTGAGTAGAATGCAACGGCTTTCAAATAAACTAGAATAGCTTCGTCCCGATCAATGTTTAGTGGTAAATGTAACAAACACTTATTTTAAGAGCCTACGGAAAGAAAGTCCTAATTATGTCATAAATTTAAGTTATCTTTTTTAAATTTAATTTGAACTCTTACTTTAACCGTACTTAGAAGGGTTCGGATAGGTAAAAAATACCAAAAAAGCATTATCAGTTATGCAATACTGATATTATATCCACAAATATGTAACAGAACACACCATTTTAGTAAATTGTTGTAGATTTTCGTAAACCTAGTTTTTTAAAATTTGCTGTTAGGTTGAACATGGACCCATTTTTGTAGTGTTTAAATTTTACTAAATTAGAATGATTTTCAGATAGGTTGAACTAATAGGTTCAATCTTTTGTATAAAAAATTATTTATTTTATTCGGACTCTAAAATATTTCCCTACTGTTTAAACGTTCTTTAGTTCTATTTTAATTAGTGAATCGTTTTTATGGTGGCAAAAGGGTAATGATGGCCCTAAAAGACTATATAGTAAATAGTCAATGCTAAAACGTAAAATTTTATAGTAAATAGTCATGAAACGTGATAAAGATGTTGTCAGTGCCAAGGACACATGTGTTCACAGGTTTTCTCTCTTGGAGTAATTACTATTCCATTCCCGACATTCAATTCAGGATTTCCATTAGATTACGTTTATTCGATTTCTCTCTATTTGTGCCAGTTATTCAAGAATTTGGTGTAGAGAGTGTATCGTAGGATGTACCAAAGTCATGTTCGTATTCTATACATTTACAGAAAGATCTTACGAAGGAAAGAATTTACATATGTTTGGAATGCCACAGAAATTGTAGCTTCATGTATTGCCTCGACAACGCATACGTTGATGTATACAGAGTTTTTTGTAAGAGCAACTTGATTTACATGAATGGAAATTCATTCAATTTATAGTTGAAAAAACTCCCTCTTATCCGGACACCTTTTAACCGGACATCGGTTTAACCGGACTACACTCAGACAATTTTTATCAGCAGATTGGATTAACCGGACTAGATCGGCAGGAAGTGGGCGGTACTGAAACAACTATTCTCGTGGAAAAGATTTGGGACCAATGATCACGTGTCTAAATACAATGCTCTCCCAAATTTAAGTGAACTACTGTGTACAGTATGCATTTAAACGGTCCGTTTTTACGAGTTTTTAGGGACGTCGGTTTAACCGGAAAACCGTTATCCGGACTGGCCTCGGTCCCGAGGAGTCCTGATAAGATGGAATCTACTTATAAAAAAAGTTGGTTATTTTTGTGTTCAATATCACACACAAAACAGATTACTGTACTGTAGTGTGAAAATTTGAAAATGCAAGGGAAAGTAAGAGGACTTCGCCTTGCATTTTCAATTTTTCACTCTCTAGATTTTAAAAATAAGAACTTGTAATTAAGCACACAGCAGCCTTATATTAACTGTCATATCAGCTGATAAAATCTTTTATCAGCTGTTTTTGTTTACGTTTTAAAACGATGACTGTTAATGTTTTACTTTTGTTGACGGGCTAACTTATAAAGCTATGGAGTAATTTGAAGAATTATATATGTTTTAATATATGAAAATAATGTTGAGTTTGTAAATTTATATAATAGTACGGTACACAAAAATATTTGAGAGAATAAACCAAAAACGTTTGCTTACGAATACAAGCTAATAAATCCAAACAAAAATATAAATGAAAAAGTAAACAGTTTTCCCCTAGTAAAATAGAAAGAAAATAAAATACCTGAAACAAGATTTTTTATGTTTTATGTAAGATGTAAAATAATTGTATGTGAAATTCGTGCCCAAGAATAGTTCCGGAGTGCAAGTCTGAGCATTAGTTACCCAAATAGCTATCTTGAATCGGTACATCAAAGGCTTGTATTTCCGTTTCTCTTCTTCTTCGTCAATCAGCTGATATTCATTGTTAGATCGGGTTCAGGGCTTTCACAAGGTTAATCAAGCAAAGAAACAAGCATAGTTTTTAACAAAGAATCTATGAGCCTTAAATATTAGAGCTTGATTACACTTTGTGCGATCCAATAATGAATATGATATTGTTGTATTAAGTCTGTTCTTTTATCATGTGTTTAAATATGTTTGTTGTCAGATGTTTTTGTAAACATTAGTTTAGTTTGAAAATAGAGTTTGTTCAAGCAAGATGTGTGAATAATATTCTTGTATAAGAAATAGAACATGGTGGCAGCTTAGTGGATTTTTTATCGAACAAAGTCTAAAACCAGCATGATGTCAAGTAAGGGCAGAAAAAAACGAAATACTCGTAGGCAAAGGTATGAGGACAATGAGGAGGATGCCCAAAGTGAATTCAACTACATGTCAGAAAGGGATTCTAGAAAGACTGAAGGTGAGTCACTAGGTTTTGCATTGGGACAGACAAACCGAGAAAATAATGCAGTAATGTGTACTCCTACTCCTATGATAAATCTGACGTTACCAACTCCAGATACCTTCTCTTTTACTCCGAATGAGTGGCATTCCTGGAGGAATCGCTTTCAAAGGTACAGACGGGGGTGCGGTCTAGATAGCACTTACGACGCTCGGCAAATCGATGTACTTTTGTTTACAATGGGTAGTAGGAGTGAAGATATTTTCGATTCGTTTTCACCAAAACCGAATACTTATGACGAGGCTCTTCGGGCCTTTGATGCATACTTTGTGCCAAGACGAAATATCATTTATGAGAGAACAAAATTTCTGAGACACAAGCAAGGGAGTGATCCATCTGAAAAATTCATAACAGATTTGCATGGTCTTGCAAAAACGTGTGCATGGGGTGAACTGAACGATGAGATGGTGCTTCTGGTCCTCATTATTGGTATGAAAGATGAGGCTCTAAGTGATAGACTCCAGCTGGACTCTCAATTGACTCTGGAGAAGGCGATTAATACCTTGCGCCAACACGAGGAGCTAGAACGCCAAAAACGTGAGCTCGCCAATACTAATGTTTTTATGGTGAATCAAACGTC